AGCCACAGCAGCTCAGGGGACATGGACAGAGCAGCCTCAGGGGAGCAGGGGCAGGAGAGGCAGGACAGCCACAGCAGCTCAGGGGACAAGGCAGAGCAGCCTCAGGGGAGCAGGGGCAGGATGAGCAGTGGGAGCTCCATGAGCTCAGGGGACAGGACTAGAGCAGCCAAAGGTGACCATGGACAAGACCAGCAGGAGAGCTCCAGGAGGTCAAAGGACAGGAGCAGAGTAGCCACAACTGAGTAGGGTCATGATGGACAGGAGCTCAGGGGACAGAAGCAGAGCAGCCTCAGGTGAGCAGGGGCAGGACAAGCAAGGGGAGCTGCAGGAGCTCAGGAGACAAGAGCAAGGGAGAAACAGGTGAGCATGTGCAGGATGGACAAGGGGAGCTGCAGGATCTAAGAAGAGAGGGCTAGAGCAGCCACAGGTGAGCAAGGGCAGGAGAGGCAGAGGCATCCCCAGTAGCTCACGGGACAAGGGTAGAGTAGCCACAAGTGGGCAGGGGCAGGACATGCAAGGGGAACCACAGGAGCTCAGGGGACAGGACCAGAGCAGCCACAGGTGACCGGAGTACAGGACAGGCATGGGGAGCTCCAAGATGTCAGGAAACAGGAGCAGAGCAGCCAAAGGTGAGCTGGGGCTAGACATGCAGGGGAAGGTCTGTGAGCTCAGAGGACAGAGACAGAGTAGCCACAGAAAAGCAGACACAAGACAGGCAAGGGGAGCTCCAGGTGCTCAGGGGACAGGAATAGAGTAGCCACAGTTGACCAGAGTCAGGACCAGCAAGGAGAGCTCCACAGGGACAGGGCAGTCACAGGTGAGCAAGGGCAAAACAGGCAGTGGGACCTCCAGGCGCTCAGGGAACAGGAGCTGAGCAGCTGCAACTGAGCAAGGGCAGGATGGGCAGGGGTAGCCTCAGGAGCTCAGGGGACAGGGGCAGAGCAGCCACACGTGACAGGGACCAGAACATGGGGAGCTCCAAGATCAGGGTACAGGCACAGGGCAGCCACAGGTATGCAGGGGCAGGACATAGAGGGGAAGTTCTGGGAGCTCAGGGGACAGGGACAGCAGCCACAGAAGAGCGGAGGCAGGACAGGCAGTGGGGGGTCCAGGCAGGCACTCACAAGACAGGAGCTGAGCAGCATCAGGGAAGCAGGTACAGGACAGGTAACTGCAGCCGAAGGGGGTCAGGGGACAGGGACAGAGAAGACACAGTTTAGCAGGGGCAGGAAAGGCAAAGGCATCACCACTAGCTCAAGGGACAGGACTAGAGCAGCCACAGGTGACAAGGGGCAGAACAGGCATGGGGAGCTCCAAGATCTCAGGGTACAGGAGCAGAGCAGCCATAGGTGAGCAGGGGCAGGATGCGCAGGGCTTGCTGCAGGAGCTCAGGGGACAGGGACAGAGCAGCCACAGGTTAGGAGGGGTAGAACAGTCAGGAGGAGCTTGGGGGACAAGAGCAGAGGAGAAACAGGTGAGCACATGCAAGATGGGTAAGGGGAGCTCCAGGAGCTCAGGAGAGAGGGGTAGGGCAGCCACAGGTGAGCAGGGGCAGGATGGGCAGGGGGAGCTCCAGGAGCTCAGGGGACAGGGACAGAGAAGCCAAAGGTGACTGGGAGCAGAACACGGGGAGCTCCAAGATCAGGGTACAGGGGCAGAGCAGCCACATGTATGCAGGGGCAGGACATACAGGGGAGGGTCTGGGAGCTCAGGGGACAGGGACAGACTAGCCATAGGAGAGCAGAGGCAGGACATGCAGGGGAAGTTTTGGGAGTACAGGGGACAGGGACAGAGCAGCCATGAAGAGCAGAGGCAGGACCGGCAAGGAGAGCTCCAGGAGCTCAGGAGACAGAGAGCAGTCACAGTTGAGCAAAGGCAGTGGGAGTTCTGGGCGCTCAGGGAACAGGAGCTGAGCAACCACAACTGAGCTCGGGCAGGGTGGGTAGGGGTTGCCCCAGGAGCTCAGGGAACAGGGGCAGAGTAGCCACAGGTGACCAGGAGCAGAACATGGGGAGCTCCAAGATCAGGGTACAGGGGTAGAGCAGCCACATGTATGCAGGGGCAGGACATACAGGGGAGGGTCTGGGAGCTCGGGGGACAGGGACAGACTAGCCACAGAAGAGCAGAGGCAGGACAGGCATGGGGAGCTCCAAGATCTCAGGGTACAGGGCCAGAGCAGCCATAGGTGAGCAGGGGCAGGATGCACAGGGCTTGCCGCAGGAGCTCAGGGAACAGGAGCAGAGCAGCCACAGAAGAGCGAAGGCAGAACACGCAAGTGGAGCTCCAAGAGCTCAGGAGACAGAGACAGAGCAGTCACAGTTGAGCAAGTGCAGAACAGGCAGTGGGAGCTCCAGGCGCTCAGGGAACAAGAGCTGAGCAGCCACAACTGAGCTGGGGCAGGGTGGGTAGGGGTTGCCCCAGGAGCTCAGAGGACAGGGGCAGAGCAGCCACAGGTGAGCAAGGGAAGGATGGGGAGGAGGAGCTGCAGGAGCTCAGGGGACAAGAGCAGTGCAGCCACAGGTGAGCACAAACAGGATGTGCAAGGGGAGCTCCAGGAGCTCAGTGGACAGGGACACAGCAGCCACATATGAGCAGGGGCAGGATGGACAAGGGCAGCTCCAGGAACTCAGGGACAGGAACTGAGCAGCCACAGGTATATGGGCACAATAGGCAGGGGGAATTCCAAGCGCTCAGGGGACAGGACCTGAACGGCCAGCACTGAGCAGGGGCAGGACAGGCAGAAACAGTCCCAGGAACTCAGGGGACAGGGACAGAGAAGTCACAGGTGAGCAGCGGCAGGAGGGTTATGGGGACCTCCAGGAGCACAGGAGACAGGTACAGATGGGCCACATGTGCACAGGGGCAGGATGGACAGGGGGATGTCTGGGAGCTCAGGGGACAGGAGCAGAGCAGCCACAGGTGAGCAGGGGCAAGACGGGCATGGATAGCCCCTTTAGCTCAGGAGACAAGGGCAGAGCAGCCTCAGGTAACAGTAGCCACATGGGAAGAGCTCAAGGCACTGGGGCAGAGCAGTCACAGGTGAGCAGCTGCAGGAGGGGCAGGAGCAGCCCAAAAGCTCAGGGGACAGAGTGCTGAGCTGCAGGGAGCCCTGGGCTCTGGTGTGAGCTGACCAGGTGCAGGCTGCAGGGACAGCTGAGGTCTGAGGAGCGCTCAGGTGAGCCTCCATGTGCACGGGGGACAGTGTGAGCTGAGCCCAGTGAGCGGCTCCAAGGTGCTGGGATGGATAGGGAAGGGGCTCGGGGCTGAGGTCACCTGCACGGACAGGTGCGGTTGCAGAGAACAGGTGCCCAGGGCCCGGAGGGGCCCTTCAGGGCTGAGCAGAAGCTGCCCAAACCTGAGGTGCAGGTCACAGGAGAGCAGGAGGCCAGGCTGGGGCCTGTAGATGAGAAATTGGGACAAGGGTCAGAGGGCATAGGACTGGCAGATGCAGGCTTAGCTTATTCGGGGGTAGGAGCTGCACCCCAGCCCATCACGAGGTCCTAGAGTGTCTGGGCCAGCATCAGAGTAAGATGAGGGACCTCCCTTTGGCCTGGGGGTGCTGGCTCCACATAGAATAGAAGAGGGTCAGAGCAGGAGCAAGGTCTCTACCTATGCTTGAAGGGGGGCAGGCAGGGGGCCTGGGCCGAGCTCATCAAGGTCCCCCCAGGAGGAAGGTTCTGGATGGAGCAGGACCTGGATAGGGAGGCCAGGAAGGACAGGGCCTGGGATGCAGGTCACAGGAGAGCAGGAGGCCAGGCTGGGCCGTAAAGATAAGAAGTAGGGACAGGGGTCAAAGGGGACAGGTCTGGCAGGTACAGGCTTAGCTTCCTTGGAGGCCGGGGCTGCACCTGACCCACACACCAAGGTCCTAGTGTCACTAGGCCAGCACCAGAGAAATGAAAGGGGCCTCCCTGAGGCCTGGGGATGCTGGCTCCATGCAGGAGATGAAAGAGCAGGGCAGGAGCAAGACTCCTACCGGTGCTCAGGGGGGAAGGGGTAGGAGTTTGGGGAGCCTGGGCCGAGCTCATCAGGGTCCCCACCAGGAGGAAGGTTCTGGATGGAGCAGGAGCTGGATAGGGAGGCCAGGAAGGACAGGACAGGCCACAGCCCGCCCAGGAGCAGGAAGGGTGGAGGGCAGGGCTGCTGGAGGGAGGGGCTCTGGGTGAACCACAGGAAAGGATTCAAGGAAGACCCCAGGAGGGACTGAGGCCAGGAGTTCGGGGCCATAGCACAGATGTAGGATCCTGGGCTGGCATGGGGTGGGTGAGACCAACAAAGAGCAGAGGTACAGGGGTCGGTGGGGAGTCTGAGGAGCGTGGGCTGATTCAGGGCAGGGACGGTGGTGCTGGGTCCAGGGATGGGTGGTGCTGACCTGACCAGAGACGGGGCCTGGGCTCCTTGCCTGCAGAGCCACCTCCAGAAGACTTGGGACCCAGAGGCAGAGAGCAGCCATGACCTAGCTCTGGGCAGAGGGGCAGGGAGCAGAGCAGGGCCAGAAAGTGGCCGAGCCCCACCTACTGGGGAGGTGCCAGCTCGGGCAGGGCAGGGCCAGCCTGTGGAGACAGGGCCAGGGACTGGGGCATCAGCCAGAAGCTGGCCAAGAGCTGGGGCCACCATCTGGCTGGGCACCCACCAGTGGCAGGAGCAGAGGTGAGGGGCTGTGTGCCCAGGCAAGCCATGCCCGAGGTGGCACGGGTGAGCGGAGCCAGGAAAGGGGCTGGAAGCCCAGGACTGTGCTGGCTCCAGGCAGAATCATGTGCTGACGGGGCTGAGGAGCCCAGTGTCTGAGGCTGCAGGACACCAGGCCCTGGGCAGCAGAGAGCCACAGCTGAGCAGCTGGCCTGCAGACGTCCTGAAGCACATTGGGGACGTGGCCTGTCCTGGAGCCTCCTGGGCAGAGAGGGGGCTGAGGAGAGGTAGGTGGGGCCAGCCAGGTGGGCACCTGACACCCAGGAGCCCAGCACTGGATCCCTGCAGAGGGACCAGGCCCTTGGAGAGCCGAAAACAGAGGGGTCTCCAGGGCTTTGTCCCTTGTGTCTGATGCCCTGTTCACACGGTGCCTCCTCTCTTGCAGCCAGTACCAAAGCCCCCTCAGTGTTCCCCCTGGCACCCACCTGCAAGAGCACGGACGGCTCCACGGTGACTCTGGGCTGCCTGGTGAAGGGCTATTTCCCTGAGCCAGTGACTGTGTCCTGGAACCAAGGCGCCCTGTCCAGCGGTGTGCGCACCTTCCCGTCTGTCCTGCAGTCCTCGGGGCTCTACTCCCTCAGCAGCATGGTGACCGTGCCTGCCAGCACCTGGCCCAGCCAGAAAGTCACCTGCAACGTAGCCCACCCGGCCAGCAGCACCAAGGTGGACAAGATGATTGGTGAGTGGACAGGCTAAAGGAAGGGACGTCCAGTGGAAGGTAGGCTCAGGATCTGCCCTCCCTACCTCGTCTTGGCAACCCGGCCAGGGTCATTGACCCCAGCCCAGGACAGTGAGGGAGGCTCCTGTCTGTTTCCCCACCTGGAGGTCTCTGTCTCCACCTCTCCAGCTAAGGGAGAGGGTCCTCTTTGTGTTTCCACCAGGCACAGTGTGGCACAAGATGGATGTCCCTCTGTGTGCTTACCTGTGTGCACAGAGGTGGGCACTGGTCTCAGACCTGCTGAGAGCCAGCTCTGAAACGAGCCTGGCCCCACCTTAAGTCCATCCAAGGGCCAAACTCTCCCTCCCTCAGCTGGACTCTACTCTCCTTCCAGAATTCAATAAGCCCCAATTTTCTCTCTCTGCAGAGCCCAGTACCCCCAAATCTGACTCCGGCACCACGTGTCCCAAGTGCAAATGTAAGTCAGCCCAGGACTCCCCTTCATCCCAAGGGGGGATGGGAGACTGAGGGCAGCATCTGAGAAGGAGGACAGGCTCCACCAGGTGCTGACCCCGCTGCCTCGGTCTCTCCACACCAGGTCCTGATAACCAGGGAGGACCTTCAGTCTTCATCTTCCCCCCAAAACCCAAGGACACCCTCATGATCTCCCTCACCCCTGAGGTCACATGCGTGGTGGTGGACGTGAGCCATGATGACCCTGAAGTCCAGATCAGCTGGTTCGTGGATGGTGAGCAGGTGCACACGGCCCAGACTTCCAGGGAGGAGCAGTTCAACAGCACGTTACGCGTGGTCAGCGTCCTGCCCATCCGGCACCAGGACTGGCTGAAGGGCAAGGAATTCAAGTGCAAGGTTAAGAACAATGCCCTCCCAGCCCCCGTCGAGAGAACCATCTCCAGAGCCAAAGGTGGGAGCGGTGGGGCAGGTGGGGTTGGAGGGGCAGGTGGGGCTCATGGGGCTGTCACAGCCACACCAGCAGACACTGGCTTGGCCATCTCCCCACCACGGGAGTGACCATCTGTGCTGACCTCTGTCCCCACAGGGCAGGCCCGGAGTCCACAGGTGTACGTCATGGCCCCACCCCGGGAGGAGATGACCCAGAGCACTGTCAGCTTGACCTGCCTGGTCAAAAACTTCTACCCCAATGACATCCACGTTGAGTGGGAGAGTGAGGGAAAGCCAGTGAACAACTACAAGACCACCCCATCCGTGCTGGACAGCGACGGCACCTACTTCCTCTACAGCAAGCTCACAGTGGACAGGAGCTCGTGGCTGAGTGGGAGTTCAGTCACATGCTCTGTCATGCACGAGGCCCTGCACAACCACTATGTGCAGAAGCTTATCTCCCACAATCCGGGTAAATGAGCGCTGCACCCGGCAAGCCTCTCGCTCCCCCGCAGGCTCTCGGGGTCCTGCGAGGACTCTCAACACCCACCCACCCATTCCCCCTGTACATACTTCCAGGCGTCACAGCAAGGAAATAAAGCACCCAGCGCTGCCCTGGGACCCTGCGAGACTGTCATGGTTCTTTCCGAGGCTGCCGCCTGAGTGGTCTTCATGAGGGAGGGAGAGCGGGTCCCACGTGGGGCAGATCCAGTGTGTGCCGAGGGTCGTCCTCTGAAGGGGGCTATTCAGAGGCTGCCCCTCTTTCGAGCCCTCTCTGCAGCCCCTAGCAGCTCTGGGCCGGGCAGCGAGAAACCCCTAGGAGCCCCTGACGAAAACCAGCACTCAGTCAGCGGCTCGGCCTCGGTGGGCCATGGAAGGAGGTGGCCGAGGAGCCGCGCAGGGAGGGCGTGGAGGAGGTGGCGTATCAGGCAGTGGCAGCAGTGTCCTGGTGGCCGGAGTCTGGCCCTGAGTCCCCCACGGCAGGAGCGAAGGGCTCACTTGGGCCAGGGGTTCAGAGACCAGAAGACTGAGGAGAGAACCGGGGCCTTGGCGACCCGGGGCAGGCTGGCCACGGACGCTGGACACAGGCCGCCACGTCCCGTTCCTCCCACTGCAGTTCCGGGCAGGTGCCACGTCAGGACCTCCACTCAGGAAGGAAGACACCAGGTGGAGAGAAGCCATCGCCTGCCGTGACTATGGGGGACAAGTCCCAGAGATCACGCAAAGGAAACGCCACAGTTCCAGCTTCGGTAG